TCTCTTATTAACTTTAACTGCAGAACTAGATATGCCTGAGCACACAGTACACCCTCTCAGAATATACAGTAACTTGAACTTTTACTGTCCCTAAGAACCATTAGCTCCCAAAACCACCAATAAAATGGATGTCATCATTAAATTAAAGCAGTGAAGCAGATTTAAAATAAATAGGAAATTAAAAAAAGCAGACAGGAGTTTTTTTTTTCCTTTTAAGTGCTTTTTAACTGGTCTGACTGAAGCATTCAAGAAATTTACAGAATGACACCCATTATCAATTCAGAACTTACAGACACTATGAATAAAAACATTTGTTTCTTTGGTATATTTATTATTATTAGGTCATTGCTTATTAATATACATTACATTTTACATGTATATTTGGGCAGCAATCTCTCTTTTGTACAAGTTTTGTTAAAGATGACAAGATACTGCGATTTAACTTTTCATTTAATTTTTTTTTGTGTTCATACAAGTGTTTTCTTTTCTGGACATAATGTAATGACTGTCCAAAAATTCTGCATATCTGAGCACTTTTGGCTATTCTTTTAGCCATTATCAAGAATGATTATTATTTTTAACTGAATATGTGGTTTTTTTTTTAATGTACGTGTCTGAAGTTATAGGGATGTTTTATTTTTAAACATGATTCACACATTGTGGCTGTGTGCATAGTTAATGATATTGAGTGTTGGCTTTTCCTTTTTTATTATTTAGGCTTCCATTATTTTTAAACAGTTTTTATACACTGTGTCCAGAAAAGAAGACTTGTGATGAACACAAGAAAAATGAAATAAAAAGCTTAATCGCAGTATATTGTCAGTCATATTAAAGAAATTACAGATATAACACACACACACACACACATCCCCCATACATGCATTTGTAGACATTCAGGTTTAACAAACTTTAATTGTAATTTTAAAAAAAAAAAAAATTTAAACATTTATGAAAATTTTAGTTTTTACAAAAAGACAGAAAACTTCATACAGAAAATTAAAACTGTTACCCTCTGCTTACTGTTGCTGCAAATATATCCTGGTAGAAATACTTCAGTCTGTAATTGTAAAAGTTGGTAACTACCCATCAGCCTATACATAGCTGGGATATTCATTAGAATAAAGATATAACAGATCCCAGGCTGCTACATTATAAAGAACTGACAAATAATGCTTACTTGACTATTGTACTGATTACATTGAAATATCACACACACATATATATATATATATATATATATATATATATATATACACAGATTTAAAAATACAATTAACAGAATTATCTTTATGACACTATAAAAGGTTTGTGGTTGTACAAAAATAATCTTCAAGGATTAAGAAATTCATCTGACAATGACATTAATTCAGTCAAATTGAACATTGTTGGATGAAGTACTTAAATAATTTTCCACTTAATAACCGAAAGGCCTCTGGGGAAAGGAACTGATTAATTTAGGGCTTACTGTTGCTCTAAAATCTTTCTGAATATCATTTAAATGAGCCACTGACTTTGTTAAAATGTAGGGCAGCTGATCTGAACTTCTGTTCAGAGTGTTTGTGGGTTAGGGTTACCAGAGACTTTCAACAGTAAACTTATGTTCCAAATTTTTTTTTGTAATATTTTTATGTGGCAGCTCACTCATATGAGGCAATATCAAAATTCCTGGATAAGTTTTTTTTTTTCTGGTTTTTGACATTGTGTTGATGACTGGTTGTCTTGAATACTCATCAGGAACTGATACTGAACTAACCATGAAATGTATATGTCACACAAAAACAAATGTTTGACCAAAAAAATGTCCATCAGAAGACTGATGAAGCATTTTGAGGATCTTGGTTATGAATTTGCTGAAGCTTCACATGAAATTTGATGCATGCACATTGCTCAAATTTGTCAGCCATTGTAAAGGTTGCAAAGACGTTCCAACAAAGTTGCAATGTCAAGTTTTATTCCTAACTTTACTTGCATTAACTGACTATTTACAGCAATTTTTCATTTGATCATTAAACCATCTAAAATAATGACATGATTAACATTTGCTAAGTGGTGTAATTTGGCTTGTCTGGGCAAAAAGGTAAGGCAGTTGTAGTGATAAAGATCAAGTGAAGGCAGTTGTAGAGAAATTGACTGTAATCTCCATCAGTGATAGAAAAAAAGAGAGAGAGCAAAATAAAAAAGAACACTGAACTATAAGTTTTATAAAACAGAAAACTGCTGTCATTAACTTGAGGTCTTCATTGATCACATTGATAATGTTAATTGCCTTAACAAGGGGGAGATGGTTTTAGATAAAGTCACTTTGAACAGAACTAATAGGCTCTTATTTGTTTATATCCCAGCAACAATGTCTATTCATTATGTATTTGCTGTCCTCCCTCTTATATTTTTAAGAAATTTTTATACAGAAACATCTATTGAAAATCTGAATAAACAGAATATTACTAATAATATTCTTAGAGAAGTCTTTAAAATGGCCAATAATAGAATAGTTAAACAAAAAAATTTAAATCTGAAAATGTTAATAAAATTAGATATCCTAAGCTGAAACTCACAATACATCTTACTTATTATAAAACGCAGATTGTGTGTGTGTGTGTGTGTGTATGTTTATATATGGGATCGGATTTCCTACATTTTTCAACAGATTTCAACAAAACTTCACTTTTTTTTTTGGCAGGTACTGTTTCTTATTGTCTTGCACACTTTTTTCTTGATTTTTACATTCAGAATGCTTTAAAAATTCCATTTACAAGACAATTGTTTATAATAAAATTCTATTCAATCAGTAGACTCATAACGATTGAAAATAATGTTTTTGTTTGACCAATTCGTAAAAAAAAAAAAACAAAAAAAAAAAATAATTAAGACATGCGTGTTTGTCAACCATAAACAATAATCTTTGTCAATTTTATTTTTCAGTCTTTATGATAATCGATACTTGATCTATCTCTTACTGTTACATCCCCGGGCAACGCCGGGCTCTACTGCTAGTTGCTCATATAAATGTAAGCATATTCTGAAAATTTATCAACATCAGTTGGTTAATACCAATTTTATTGGGAAAACAGTCTAGTAATTCTTGGGTTGATCAATTTATTACTTAATATTGATAGAAAATCAATCCCCACTTTATGTCCAATAGAAACTCATTAATATTTAATATAAATACATCCTGAAATCTTGTCAACATCAGTTGGTTAAAATCAATTTTATTGGGAAAACATTGGCTTGCATAATAAAATCTAACCATATATTATTTATTTTTAAATTATTCATATATGATGAATTTGACAGATGTGGATTTCCTAACATTAATTATATTTTCTGATCGCACTGTGTAATACTAATGTATAGTACCAATGTAATAAAATTTTCTACCATTGTAGAATTGTCAAAATACAAATTGGGTTTCATTTATTGCAGTTATTACTTCTGAATTTATTCAAATTATTGTTTGGAGAGTGAATAAAATTTAACAAAGAATGAAAATTCATAATTCAAAGAACTCACTTTGTCCTATCAACTCAAAAAGACCTGCATAAACTTTTTTTTTTCTGACTCCTGCTTGTTTTATACGCATTTCTATTGCTAGTCAATGTGAGAAAATGAGCTATAAATTTTTATGTACCAGTGCTAAAAACCTAAGGGAAAGAAGGTAAACAAAATTGGCTAGATGATATACTCAAACACATGTTAAAAAAAAAATCATTAAATTTAAAAGTGGCTAGTTTTAGGTAAAATAGGAAATTGCCATTTACTGGAAATAAATGACCTTAAAGACACTGAAAATGAGTTCTCATTTGATTTTGATCAGATACTTTGCAATATAGAATAAACTAAATGACACCCCCAACATGGCATATAATAAAAATATGTTAAAAAACAGATACCGTATGCTTATATATGTCTACATTGGTTAAAAAATAGCACCAAGTACTAGTTTATAATAAAAAATGTTATGTACTGACATTTCATAGTGTCTTGGAAACATGGACGTCAACAGCAGTCAACATAAGTTTCATAAAGACATACAAGTAGTCCCAAAACAATGGAAGTGTTAAAAATAAAGACATTTTTGGGTGGTGTCAGTTTCTTTGCATAATAAAACTTAAATGTGAGGAATTTTCATTTATAAATACATGTAGAAGATAAATGCCAGAGAAATATTTGATTAATACAGAATCTGATAAACCTGAATAATTGATGGGCTTATTTTTTACAGCCTATCAACTTAGATTATTTATGGCCAAAATATATTTTTGAAGATAATTATTTTATGATATAATTCCTACTATTTAACTCCTAGCTATATAACGAACTTGACTGGAATTTGCCCTCCAATTTCTCATTCCAAGCCATTTATCCATTACACCACCTGCACATCCATGCTTACAGCACCTGATATGCATAAGTGGTCACCTATCTGGATACTGATCAGGCACAGCATGGCTTCACTTTGTATGAGAATCAGTGTTTCAACATGATATGGCTGTAATCACCATAAAACAGATTAAGTTTTTTTTTAATGTTAATATGAATTCCTTGATGTTCTATAACATTCATTCACCGATTTCAACTTTTGTTTTTTACTGCTTCAAATTTAACAATACTTTCAGCAGTTTATTACTTTCCAGTGATCTTTGCTTTTAATTTTTTTTCTACTCTCATAGCTCTCCATCATAGACTACAAAATTTCTATTGGATTAATATATCGAAAAGCAGAGAACTGTTCTATTAATCATGTGATATTGAAACCTTTTTGGCAAGATAGCAACTGAAGGCTTTGCAAGATATAACAGAATATTTTATCCTGTATGAATATGTTTTTAGCTGAAAGCTTTTAGGTTGGAACCTGTATCACTTGAAAAACATCTTTTCCAAGCATTTACAATATTTCTCTGCATTGATCTTGATACCATTGTCAACTTTTACAATAACTTTTACTGCTTACAATACTAATTTCAAAACATTACTCTTCCACCAACTGTCTAAAAGGTTATGGCCACATCACATTGGAACACCAGTTCCCATATGATTACTAAAGTTAAGCAATGTTGAGCTGGGTCAGTACCTAGATAGGTGACCACTTGAGAATACCAGGCACTATAAGATCAGATATGTGGATAGAGCAATGAATAATGGCATGGAATTGTTAATCAGAGAACAGAGTTCAAATTTCAGTCATTTGTTATAGTAATTAATGTGCAAATACCTTTGGAAAGGCATGAATCCACCTTTTCTCCCCCTACTATAGGTTAGATAGTAGGAATTTTATCATAAAATCATTATCTTTAAAAAAAATTCTTACAATCCAAAAATATATTTTGGCTCTGAACAATTGTGAATACCAGCTGGTGTAAGCTTGGATGTGCAGGTGGTGTAATAGATAATGGCTCTGAATTGTTAATTGGAGAGACGAGCTAATTCCCGTTGGGTTTGTTATATTCACTTATATGCAAATACACTTGGGAAAGGTATGAATACACCTCTTCTCTCCCCAGCTATGGGTTAATTAGTAAGGCTTGTATCACTAAACCATTACTAAAAAAAAAAAAATCTTACAATCTAAAAATATGTTCTAGCTTTAAATAACCTATTTCCCAAAAAAGAGTGAGCCTCTTGCTTAGCCTTCAGGTCCATCTCATATCTCTAGTAATCAAAAAATTGAGAAAACAGTTTTCAGATACTTCTTCCGAACATTTCTCTGTGATATTTAAGATGGTAGTTTGGTTAAAGTGAAGAAAATCTAAATATTCTGTAGCTTTTCTATTTACATTCACAACAACTTCACAAATTTTCTTGCTTATTAATTTTTTTCAAATCTTTTAGCGACATTCTTAAAGTCAGTTTTTTTTTTTTTAATTATCTTGTCATTTTTTTCAATTTCCTTTTTGTTTTTCCTGTTATCTATATGAATTGTTTTGAAAATTTTCAATGTTATCGTCCAAACACTTATCTTTACTATATATTTTTTTCTCTTCAGGTTGTATCTTTTTTATAACCTATGACAATCATTATATATCTGAAATTATGAAACAGATTACAATAACTATGTTATATACTTAAAAACTGCACTCTGTGCAGGCGTTTAAGTTAGCTCCTGTAGATAAATAATTGGGCCTCTGGCCCAAAATTAAAGGGACAGCTTAGAAAATAGACATGTTAATTTTGAAGAAATACTTTGAATTCCTCAATTCACTCCATGGAACTTCAAAACCTAACTTTAACCCTAAATTTGGGCTAAAAGTCCAATTCTGGTAAAAAATACTGATTTGGGATGAAATTCTACTTCAAGCTGAGAATTGAGTTCTTCAAATCAAACTCTGCAGAACTTCAAATCCCCATGTCAGAAAACTTCTTACTTTAACTCTAATTCCTTTGCATTTTGAAGAAATAAAATGGATTTCCTCAATTCAAAGTTTTGGGGATATTTTAAATTAAATTTAAAACATTTTGTTTTAAATTCACAAAATTTTTGTGTTGCATGAAACTCAATACAAATTAAAAACTAAAAATCACTAATTTTTTTCAGTTTTAAAATTTGAATTTTTAACTGTTCCTTCCTCATCTGGACACACATCCCAATGTTGGATGTTCAAGCACCAGATGACGGGCAGATTTTCAATCCCTGGATCATTTTGACTCCAAAAAAGGTATAATATATCTATGTAGCATTTAACAAAGTTTGTGTTTTTACTATCCTTCCCATTCCTCATTCTTCCATCCGTTTACACAAGCTCATTAGGGATATTGCTTGCTATTTCCCTCTGCCCCTCTTGCCTTCAATAGGTCCTGTGAGTGTCGAGTTTTTTAACCCTTCTTTTGTCAGGTGTCTGAGAAATTTCAATTCTTTCTGATTCTAATTATAAGTGTCCTTTTTGTACCCATTTTTCTTTAAAACTGACTTGTTGCTTACATGTTCTAGTCATGATATTCTCAGTATCCTTCTGAAGAATGAAATTTCTGCTGCCTTGAGTTTCCTCTTCACTGTGAGGAAATTGGCCAATATATTAGTCACTGCCATATAGGAAGATTGATATCTGTTAACAATATTTTTTGTTTCTTAATACTTTTTAGTTTTTGGAAGGTACCTTTTGCTATTCAATGTATTTGCAGATTTCAGTGTCTCATTTGCAGTCTCTTGTTAACACATTTCTTCAACATCTATGTGTGTTTGACTTTAACATCTCCAATTCATACTGAGCTGTTTCTCTTGCTGACAACCACACATTGTCTTCTTAGAATTGGTGATTTGTCCTTTCCTTTACTATGTTACTGCAGTTTCCTTTCAGTGTCTGCCATTAACACAGTATTCTCTATATATCATGTTAAGAATGTGCTCACTGATAATAAATCCTGTTAAGACATGTAGTTCTCTTAGGATTGCCTCACTGTAAAGGTTGAATAAATCCAGTGAGAAGATCAATTGTGTAAAAAAATTAACTAGATTAAGACAATCTGATAGTAAGTTTCAGGTTGCTATGTATATCTTATTTAAAAAATTGATTTGTTATTTTTTTTCTAAGGTTATTTTTATTTTCTAATTTATATCTTCATTCCCAATTTAATCATTATGAAATTTCATGTATGATCAGATCTTGTTCATCCAAGAGTTATATACAGCAATATTTTGTTTTTTCTAAGAGATATCATTTATTAACTTTTTTATAGTCATTGCTTAAACACGGTGAAATTTAGATATGGCCATATAATTATATATAGAACTCTCTAGGAGGTAAGAAAAAGAGAGAGAAAATATATATATATATATATATATATATATATATATCTTGGCCATTGAATGATTTTTAAAAATTTTTTTTTATGGCTTATCAACCTCTTTATGGGTCATTTAAAACAAAAACAGATTTCTGGATTTTAAGAGTAGTTTTTTTTTTTTTTTTTTTTTTCAACAGTGAATATTGCATTAACAATTTTTTTGAGAATAAGGATTTTTGTAGATACAAATCCTATTTAACCCATATCTGGGAGAACAACAAATTCATACCTTTTCAAAGTGTATTTGAATGCAACAAACACAACTGGAATTTGAACTTCGATTTCTCATTCTAAGCAGCTATTTATTACACTAGCTGCATATCCTATTTCATTAAAAAGGCAAAAAAATCTGCATGTGGCTTACATGAATCAATCGCAATCAACTGCATCTGCTTTAGTTTTTCTATCAGAATTAGGAAGATGAAGCAACTGACAAATACCCATTGTCTTTAATAACTGGTTTTTTTTTTTTTCTTAGTTAATACAATCACATTGGTTCTGGTTGAAACAGAGCATGTCTTTATCTTTCTGCAGAAAATGTATTCTTTTATGTGTTGTGTCCCTTCAGGACATTGGCAATCATGGTACTCCACGATTTCCTGTCCTTTGTAACTCTTAGCAGTTTTTGTATTTTTACTATCTCTCTGAAGCCCTATTCTACCAAACAGCCCTCTTCCCTTATTGTGTGTACTAGAAATTTCAATTGTTTCTTTCTGATTCTAAGCATATGTCCCTTTTGTTTTCATTTTATCAAAAACTGTCATTGCTCACATGTTCAGTTCATAGTAAAAATTCGGTGTGCTTATTTGGGTGGGGGGAGAGGAGGGATTGTGTGTTGGTGGTAAATCAAACATCTGAAACAGAAATCTATTAGCTATAATACTTTCTCCATCTCACAAGTATATTCAACTTCCAAAGAGCATCTCATGGCCAAAGTAGTTGGATATTTTTAACTGGTCACAATGGTCAATATTAAAGTACAACTAAAAAGCAGATAACTGATAGTCTACTTTCTAGTCAAGCAGATAATCTCTCCAGTTTGAAGATTAGCATAATCTCTATTCATCCCTGTGCCAGGATAAGCTAAGTGTCTGAAGTAGTTGCATAAATCTTGCTAATAATGAATGTTCAAATCCCAGTTAAGGCCATTATTTTAAATGCTTATTTTCAAAGCAAACAGTCCCTTTTCATTTGGCAATATTTAGAACTTTGGAAAGTTTTGATTGTATAAAAAAACTTATTTGAAAATTTGAGAAACTTGTTAATAAAAAAAATAAAAAAAAAAAAATTTGGATAGACAGTATCAATATTGTTCAAAACTTCTTGCTGCCTAAATTCTAAATGATATATATATATATATATATATATATATATATATATATATATATATATATAAGAAAATGTGATAATCATTCCATTTACTCAAGCTTATCAAGTATGTTATGTGTTGCTTTCCTCTTGCCTCCAATCTGTTCTGTGAGTATTAGATTTTCCAAGCCCTCTTTCCTCATATGCCCTAGAAATTTTAGGGGTCTCTTCCTGCTGTTAATTATAAGTTTCCTTTTTGTTTCCATTTTCTCTAAAACTGTCATTGCTCACATCTTCATTCCATGGTGTTCTCAGCATCCTTCTGTAGAATCACATTTCTGTTCCTCCAAGTCTCTTCATCCTTGAGAACATTGTCCAGCATTCACTGTCATATAGGAGGACAGATATCACATAACAGTTCAGTACTCTTTTGAATTATATTCTAGAAAACTATTTCAGGCTTATTCTCACAGAAACAATTATTTAATCTAAATTTTATTACGCGAGGTGAAGAGTTTTAAAGATTCTCAGATTTCTATGGGAATATTACATATACATACATGTGCAAGTGAGAGAGTGGAAAAAAAACTAATCAGTGAGAGCAGATATAAAATGATCTGACCAGCTGCCTGTCATTTGATAAAAATCTATACATCAACTGAAATAAGAGTTGGAACTTATAAGAAAGAAAAAAAAAAAAAGGAAAAGTTTAATCCTATGCAGACATATGATTCACACCAACCGAGACATCAGATAAGAAAGAAAAGAGAAAAAAGAAAAAGTAAAAAAAGAAAAGCAAAAGAAATCCAAGCTTTATTGAAAGACATTCATATGAAACAAGGAACACTCTAAGAAATGGGACAAACAGCAGAGACAAACAAGTCAAAATTCTGAAAACTTACAGAAATAAAGTTTTATTTCTTTTCAATGTGATTTCATTTTAGTCAACATTTTGTTGACATTGGAAACCTAACTTTTTGTGTATTTATTTGTCACTGTGCAAGGCACAATGAAATTAGACTGCAATCTCCAACACACAAAGAAAAAATACATGAACAGCATCGAATGAAGAAAAATTTAAAAGATATTGAAAATTGGTAGCATGCAGCAGCAATCTTTTTATCCAAGAATAAAAGCTGTCCAAGTTCTTTGTCCTAGAACTAATACAAATAAAACATCCTGAGAGTAACAGCTCAAACAAGTGGTACCCGAGATGTGTGCAGTCTTTCACTAGGTTTCCTGCTCTACTGTGATGAGAATTAGAAACATCCTTCAAAGAGTGAAGCAAGCAGCCAATTATTTCCTGGGCAAAATCTATAATACATTGTAGGGTTCTCTTATCCACTGCTAAGCAGCTGGCATATCAAATGATGATGCCTGTACACTCAATAGAGCAACGGTAGACGAGCATTAATATCTCCCTTTGTAAATTTTGAGAATTGTCAGTAGAGGTGCTAGTGTGAATTCTTGACTAACATAATGGTGTTTCTTGTTCAGGAGAGATCCTCTGAAATGTACATATCTAAAAAACTTATTTTCATCTACATTCTCCACACAATCCTCACTGATAACCAAAGGGACAGGTGGTGTGGCATTTCTCCAAAAGTCCACCATCAGCTCCTTTGTATATGCAACAGACATTGCTTGAATAAATTGACAACACTATTTTTCTTCTATAACTATGATTGTTCAGTGCTTTCTACAGTATTTTCTGATACCAAAATTATTTCAAAGGCTGTAGTTATAGAGATTATAACAACCTGATACACTTTATAAATCCAATTCTATTCAGATGAAGTATTTATTATGTTCGAGATAAATACCATGATTTTATATGAGTATGTCTTATGGTTTGGTTGAGCAATACTGATGTTGAGTCAGAGGGCTCAGGGTCACATTAGCCAAGGTTACAAAGATAAAATTAAAAAGAAAACCACCAAAAATGAAAGCAAAATGATAAGTGAGATGAAAGAGGAGAAGAATGGCAGTGAATAGAGAAGAAAAAAAACAAACATGCAAACAAGTCTTCGTACAAGTCTCCTGAATTAGATTGTCACTTTGCTAGTCATTGTCCAACTTAGAATCTTATTTTATCATGGCTGCAAAACAGGAAACCCTACTTGTTTGTCTATATTACTTAACACTATTTTGTTTTTAAGTACCATCATAGTGATTATGTCTGACCTACTGGTAAGTTCAGTAGTTATAAATCCATCTAAATATTTATTTGAACAGTGAAGGTTTGGTTGGGTTAGATTTTGTTTAATGCCATGTCAGCCTTGGTGAGTCATTTTACAACAACAAAGTGAATACATATATTACATATACTTTTTTTTTTTGCTTTTGCCAATATTAAGGGGGTTTCAGTTTGGGAACTATAATTTATTTTAAATATATTGTCTAACTCTAGCATTCAACCTGCCCAAAACTGCCCCGTAAATATTGGTCTATATGTTCAGCTTAGCATAACCCACCCTATGTACCCTCTGCCATAATATATGAAGACATCATTGCAAATAATGCAACAAGTCATGCAAATAGAGAGATTGACAACAAACAGCAAGACTTTGAGAACCAATATTTATGGGTTGAATTTGAGCATGTTGAATGCTAAAAGGTCAATCTGTCAGTTTGAACCATATACCCATACCTAAGCAATTTTTAAAGGAATTTAAAAATTCCTATTCTTTTCAGAAATCCTATTATCAGACCAGGGCAATATCTTTAAACAATGTTTTTACATTCGTGACATAGTATTTATTAAATTTAAGCTGATAACTTTTACACTCATCAGAATGTGCTTAATCCTCAATCTATCTTAGCAGGTGTAAATGAGTAAGTCTTGTATATCCAATATGAATTCTAGTTAGTACCATGTCTTTTCTTCACCCGCTTTTAGTAGTTTTATGTTTTCCTGTCTGACGCTCGATTGGTGCTCAACAGTGAAGGATATTAAATAGAAACTGTAGAACTAACATTTATAACATTCTTATTTTATTTATAAAAAAAAATTATGTATGTAAGTATCTTATATATATATATATATATGGGCATGAGGCTGAGTGGTTAGAACATTCACTTTCTGACCATGAGACCCAGGTTTGAATCTCACCATGGTTGATTTGTCAGGAAGTGGATTTCCTGGTGTTATCAGTCAGGAGGGGGGGGCGATCTCAGTGTGTGGTACCTTTGGAAAATGCCTGAAAACCATACCGCGGATTGACCCAAGCCTTGTGAGTGAAAGTAAGTAGACAGAATCCTTGGGGGGGGCGTAGATAGCTGTCATCGTGACTAAGGGTTTGAGTGTGCTGGTCTTGTTCAGATTGTTGATCATGCTAGGTAACATGCTCTCTCCCAGAAACTGTAACTAAGGTCTGCTCAGCATAGTTGCAGTATAAACCACAAGTTGGGTGTTAAATAAACACAAATGTGCCTGAGAGAGCGTTTGCAATAGGGATTGGCTAGCCACCCTAATAGGTATCCTCAAATATGAGTGGCCAGTTATTATTATCTTAATGATGAAAGAAAGGCATTTATTTTATACACCAAATATTTACATTTCAATGCTTCTTTCATTATGAAAGCACTTAATTCAGTGGTGAAGATGAATTGCAGATCAAACATTTCAGACATGTAAGAGTGTTCTATAAATCCTGCATCATTATTATTGGACTTCTAATGTAAAAAAAAATATGCCTGCTTCTTTTAAGTGTCATGTCCCTTCAGGACGCTGGCAATCATGACCCTTCACATTTTCCTGTTCTTTCTAGCTCTTAGTAAATTTCATTTTTTGCTATTTCCCCAAAACCCTGTTCTACTATCCAAGCTCGTTAGGTAGGTTATGCATTGTTTTTCAACTGTCCCTCTTGCCTTCAATATGTCTTGTTAGTGTTAAATTTTCTAAGCCCTCTTTCTTCATTATGTGCCCTAGAAATTTAAACTATTTCTTCTTGAAGTATAAGTGTCCTTTTTGTTTCCATTTTCTATCCATGTTAATTTCAGCATCGTTCTGTAGAACCATATTTCTGTTGCTTCAAGTCTTCTTCATCTTTGATGAGATTGTCCAGCATTATAGGAGGACTGATATTACATAACAATTAAGTATTATTTTCTTTGTTTCAAATGAAATCTTTCTATTTCTTAATACTTTGCTTAGCCTTTGGAAAGCATCATTTTTTGTCCCAATAAACCTTCAGATTTTGGTGTGTATTTTCCATCCTCTGTTAAAATACTTCTTAGATATTTAAACTGCTGTATTTTCTTGGTTTTGGTATCTCCAATTTGTAATTTAGATGTCGGGTTGTCCCTTTTGCTGACAACCATGCATTCTGTCTTCTTGCAGTTGATATTTAGTCCTTTCTTACCTTCCTTTGCTACCTTCTATAGGAGTTCTTGTAGTTTCCTTTCTAGCTCTGCTATGAACACTTATCTGCATATCTTATGTTGTTAAGATTGTGTCTACCAATAATGAATTCTGGTAGGATTTCTAATTCTCTCAGAATAACCTCATTGTATCAGTTGAATAAATCCAATAAGACACATCCTTGCCTCACATCCCTTTCTATGTTTGTACATTTACTGAATTGATTTTCTATCTACATGCAGGTGGTTTGCTGCCAGTATAAGTTCTGAATTATTATCATATCCTTCCCAAATGTTAACTAGCAGTTCCAATCTACTCATAAGAAATGTAAATCAAAGACAGGCTAACATTGAATTTAACCAATGGCTTCCAGATTTATTATAATGTGATGGATTTATGAGAGACAGTATTTGAAAGGTTTTATAATAACAGCTGATGGAGGGGGGGTACAACTATGTTATTCATTTGCAATAAAGCCCAATATCAGATTTTCATGGATTTTCAATCAGATCATCGCAACTGAAAGTAAAAAAGAATGGCAAAAAGAGAAGAGGAATAACTTATTCCCAAGAAATATTCTTATGAAATTGTTACAAATAAAGGACAATGTTTTTTTTTTTTTTAAGCATATACAATTTCATTATTTACATTGAATAAAGAAAAAGTACATTTTGGCAGTGTTCAATCTTGTGTGCCCCTTGTAGAGGAAACCACTTTTTAAGCCCAGAGTGAAAGTATTCCACGGCTGAATGGTCTAACAGCAAGCTGGCTTAATCCTGGTTTCTCCAACAAGAGTGACATAGGTTTTGAATCATGTTACAAGACATTTTCTTAAAGCTTCTTGAATGGGAGATGTAAATTTAAAAAAAAAAATAAAAAGATGTCTATTCAGACATATGTATACATTAAATTTAATGTTTAAAGTAATAAAAAAAAATGAAAAAGTGTGTGTGTAGGGGGAAGGGGGACCTAATTTTGTTTGGCACATGGTCATGACAGTTGTGAACCTCGAGGACTGAAATTAAGCACAGCCTGCAAGAATAGCTTGTTAAACTCCCCCCTTCTTCTTACAAGTGTCTCTTTTACTTGATACAATTTAAAATCTTGGGTTATTTTTTTTAACACATTAGGATGGATTGATTATTATTGTTGTTACTACATAGCAATTAACATGCAACAAAACTTCATTTACTTATTCAATTGTTTTACTTACAATAGTTGGGGCCTCTGAGGATGCACCATTGACAATGGAAGACTCTAATGGGTTATCAACTCCGTTGGAATCGGCAGGCAAGAAGCTATCCATGTCTTTTTCTGGCTCTGAGTCTTTTGAAGAACACTCAATGCTTAAAGTCCTTTCATTACTGTTTGATTGTACAACAGGCATCTCAGATGAGGTGGATCTCGACTCTGCCTTTAGGGAAGAGCTGCTAGAGAATGGTGACCGTTTCTCTATGTCCTTATAAGAGCTGTAAACGCTGTATTTTCCATAGCCGCTAACAGAGCAGCTGAGTTTCAGGTACGAGGGCTTACGGCTGGGAACATCAATAAACAACTCCTGGGCTGAGAGGCTGCTTAGATCTTGTGACAATGGGGAATCACTGTTCAAGTGGGATTTGGTAGTGTTGCTGAGATGAGAGCCTGGGGTGGTGGCAAATGTCCCTTCACTCCCTGCAAAAAATAAAAATTGAATGTTCCATTGAATATGTGTGCATGTTTGAAGCACAGTGGTGTTGGGGGAGGGGGAACAGAAAAAAAATTATGAAAGATTTTAAAATATGCACACACACACACACACACACAATTGATAAGTAAATATTAAATTTTGCTATTTTTTTTTATTTTTTTACCTAAAATTAGTTTTCCAAAATTTAGGAACTCAATCATTAAAAGAATCAAAGGGAAAAAAAGTTTCAGTGGAGAGGAATTAAAGATTACTATCAGAATAATAAGGCTATTATACATATAATTATTTTGTAGCAATGTTTTACCAGAAAAATGCACCACAAATAAGAAAAAAAAAAAAAAAAAAGAAAAGAAAAAAAAAAGATTATTAATGGTCAGGAATTAATGCAAACAAAATATGGCTATTTGTATAGTTTTTAGTATAAACAAACACAAAATGTGAAAATAAGATTCAAGATGAAAATTAATTATAGTAACTTATTGGCTAGTGCAGTTTTGCCTTTTGATAGGCAAAAGTGAACGAGTTGACAAGCTGTTTTAATCAATTTTAGCTTGATCTTAAATTGCTTTTTTTTTTTTTTATATATAATTTTGTTGGCATAATAAAAATAAGAAATATATATACTAATTAAAAGAGTTTAAAATACTGCAATTCATATAAAAGAAAAGAAAACAAAAATTACCCACACTATGAACTTAAAAAAAAAAAAAAAAAAAAAAAAAAAAAAATCAGCACAAAATTGGCTAATTGTGAAGTTAAAAAACTAATAAAAACAAATCTGATTAAGAAATAAATTAAAAAGTTAATTTTAGATTACTCTGCAACAAACATTTCTTGTTTGTATCATCTTAATCAACAAGGAAGTATTAAAAGTTAACCTTTTAAGCTTTGCAAGTTGAGAGAAAAGAATTGCCGGCGACTTGTGCATTAGAAGATATTAACAAAATGACTAATGAATGACCCTTAGACAAAAAAAAAAACATAGATATTAAGTCAAAAGATAAAGGTTTATAATTGAATTTATTTAGAAGAAACTGAAAGTTCAAAAAAAAAAAATTATAATTAATCTCAAAACAAAGTCTTTCTGCCTATCAACTTGCTATCAATGTGTTAAAAAAAGAAATAAATAAAAAAAGTAAAACATTAGTGAAGCAAGATATTAAATGAGGATTTTCAGTGGTGAGATTGTACATTGGCAAGAAAAGTTATACAATTTAGATAGTCTAAAAAGCTATTCATTTATCATCAACTGTACTCCAATTTGACTAAATCTTAAGCAATTCTACGATCAGTATGACTTCAGTAACAGAAAAAAAATATAAAAGAATTACTAAAGTTGTTTTATACTGTATTGGAGAATTCTACTATTTCTACTAGTTCAATTACACTAGATTTTTTTTGCAACATGCTGAAACGTGTTAAAATCCTCACTGAAGTTATTGCTAACATTTTTATTAAGTAGATAAGTATTTGTTATTTTATTCATTGTTTGTAAAATGGTGGTAGTATTTTGTATGTTAAATAATAAAACTTTTAATCCCTCCCGCCCCCCAAAATTAAAGAAATATTATTGTACTCTACACACCCTAGTAAAACCAACTATACTTTTTACCCACTTAGCTGTTTGCACTTCTCCCTAAAATTTGGTTTTGATTGGTCTATGTATGGGTAAATACACATACATAGACAGAAATAGAGGGTGTGACAAACAGACGAATTAACAAAAGTCACAGAATTTTACATACACAAACATTATATATAATCTTAAGATTCCCTCAAAGTATTTCCTGCATAAAGAATTGTGTTTTTTTTTAATTTGGGTGGCATTTATAAAGTCAAAGATTATATAATAATAATAAAAAACATACTTAACAGACAAGCAGATGTGGATGTGTATAAATCAAGGAAAAAAAAAATTAATTCTTTTGTTCTTGATTTATAAAATTTTAAATAAAATGTAAATTAAAAAAAAATACTAATTTTGTGTTTTTATTTTTATCTTTCATAGTGTAGGTAATAACTAAGGTTCATGCCTTTTCAGGGAGGCATTAATTTAAACTTTAACAATCACCAGTCTAGTTAGAAGTCTAGCCTGCACATAGACATATCTGCTAACTTCTTGTATAGAAATGTTTAAAGATGTTTGGATGAGTACCCTTATTTTGTTATTTTTGTCATATTCTTGTTGATAGTCTTCTTTCACCCGATGTTTTTTATGGCTTCATGGTTTATATTAAAGCCAAAACATTTAGTGGGGATTATAAATAATTTTTTTTTGTGGGTGAATATTGTATTAATTTTTGGAGATGATGATTCCCCTCCTCAATCTTACTATTTAACCTATAGCTTGGAAGAGAAGAGATGGATTCATACCTTTCTCAAAGGTATTCACAGACAAGTGAATGCAATGAATGACTGGAATTCAAACTCTGATCTCTCTCTCCTTCAAATTTCAGTGTCACCTTTTCCATTATCTGTTATAACACTTGCCAGTTAATTTTATTTCTGTTATTGTTTGATTTTGATGTCTCCAATTTGTAGCTTGCATTGTGGGCTTTCCTTTTTGGCTAGCGACCATACAGTGTCTTACAATGTATGCTTAATACTCTCTTTTCTTTACTACCTTGACTAGGAATTCCTGTGGTTTTCTTTTGTGTCTACTATCAATGCAGAATTTCACACAGATCACCGAGTTACGGATAGAATTCAATTGGACACAAGGCCAAAAGAAAGAAACACACACACACAACCCCCCCCCCACAAAAAAAAACATGACTAATATACATTAGCTTATCAAGAGGTCCCCTTCCATGATAATCTATTCCCCATCCCCATACCACACACAAAACTCAAATCTAGTCCAGGTGTAAATTACCCTTTTTTTTTTTTTTTTTTTAAGCAAAAGAAAAAAAAATCTTCTGCTCTAGAACAGCTCAAATCAAAGCCACCATTGATAATGTCTAATCCACAATCTTTGTTTGAATGGTATCAAGAAAGAGAAAGACAAGATCCCACACAGTGCTCCCCCTAACCACCACCAGCAATACCCTGACAAGTATCAGGGATCTAGACATCTGTCTACAAGACACATGCACAGAATGACTATCCACACCCAACTTTGCTATCATTCTTCCCTAACCGACCACTGTGCAGAAAAGCATGAAGTATTCAGCTGACAGCTGGAAGACACATGCATGTCACAGGGCTGGTGAAAAAAAATTCTTCATTAATACACTTATTTGCAGACATACCATTCTCCAAGAGATGATCTTATAATAATAGAATTTTCATTTCAGAAATTTTTCTGAAAGTTCATTTTTCTGAATTAACTAATAAAAGAAAAGTAACAAATTGAATCATGAACATTAATTATGTATTTTTAAATAAAAATGTATTTAAAAAAAAAAAATTGAAAAAGAATTGTTCATTTTTGTTTAAAAAAAAAAAAAAAAAATTAATAAAGAATATTAAAAATAAGCTTTGATAATTTTCAAATAAAATCAAAGTAAATTGTAACTGAATAGAATTTAACATTCAAAAGTTTTATTTACATGATTGACATTTAGTTTTCTTGACTGTTGTTTCAGCTGACACATTGTTAAATATTTACCAGGTGCATAATGATAAAAAAGAACAAAAACATTTCTTCAAAAATGTTACATTGGGTGTGGCAGCATGTCTGTATCTAACAGTACTGAAATGGACTGATCAAGTTGGCATATTAACAGCCATGCGTTAGCATTTATTGAACCCCCTTCAACCTCCCCCCCCATCACCTAAAACTGATGAAAATAGGTTTTCTGAAATGTAATAATCTCAACAACAAAAAAGAAAAAAGTTCAACTTTCAAAAGAAAATTTGGAAAATTGAGAATTCATTTTTATTGCTAAAAAGTACAAAGACACGTTTTTTATTGCTAAAAAGTACAAAGACTCGTTTTTTATTGCTAAAAAGTACAAAGACTCGTTTTTTATTGCTAAAAAGTACAAAGACTCGTTTTTTATTGCTAAAAAGTACAAAGACTCGTTTTTTATTGCTAAAAAGTACAAAGACTCGTTTTTTTTTTTTTTATTGCTAAACAGTACAAAGACTCGTTTTTTGTTTTTTTTTTATTGCTAAACAGTACAAAGACTCGTTTTTTTTTTATTCATCGTTGATGATTGCATAATATATCACATATGTTAGTATTTGATTATCATATAAACTAAAAGGTTTATTTTACAATACTAAAATTAATAAAATGTTCATTACCAGCAAAGTTTGTTTTTTGAAGATATTTTTTATTCTTTTTGTGAAGCTACAAGATAGAATGGTTACCAGGAAAAAGTTGAGCTCAAAATACAAATTGGGGATACTAAAATCAAACAAGTACATGAATTTAAATATCTGGGAAATGTTTTAACAGAGGGACAGAAAGTGACACTGGGATCCGAAGATGTATTGGGATAGCCAAAGATGCATCCCAAAAGCTAAGCAGAGTATTAAGAGAAAGAAAAATGTTGTTAGAAACAAAGAAAAAGAGTACTGAACTGTTACATATCTCTCCCCCTGTATGGCAGCAAATGTTCCTCAATAAATAGACTTGAAGCAACAGAAATGTGGTTCTACAGAAAGATACTGAGGATCAAACATGACAAGGGTTTGGGAGAAAATGGAAGCAAAAAGGAAAATTATACTTAACATCAGGAAGAGGCAGTTGAAATTTCTAGGGCATATAATGAGGAAAGAGGGCTTGGAAAACCTGATACTCATGGGACAGAGGAAAACAGTGTTAAACATATTTGATGAGCGTGAGTAAATGGATGGTAGAACATGGTATGGGAGAAATCATTAAGAGCTACAAGGGACAGGAAGATGTGGTGGGCCATGATCTCCTACACCCTGAAGAGACATGGCATATAAAAGAAGTGCCCATCTAAAATGAGATTTGAAGCCTAAGCTTAAAAAGATTGGCCAGATACAATTTGAATATATGGGTGTTTAA